GTTTCGTCGGAACGAATTTACGGAAAGTTAATTAACGAACGGAGACGTAACAATATGTATGTATACATTTCGTACAGATATGGTGCTTATTTCATATTTGCTACCAAATATTATTATTTTACTGGCTCTGTTTCCTGAATTTTATGAAAATGTTTGATGTCTTCAAATAATTTTGTTACAATGTAACAATTGTTTGTGCATTATCTCATAGTATAATCTATTAAAATGTTATGTGCTTATTAATAACCATTTTCATTGAATTATGAGCCATTTATTTTTAAGCAAAAGAACAACCAAACAAGACCAGCATTATCACGTAGACAAAGTAAAAAAAAACAGCTTAAAGTCACAAAACAGAGAGCCAGCAAACTAAAAATAATGTTACCAATTAAATTATTTGCCAAGGTCTCTGAAGGTTCAAAATATAATTATTTTCATGCTTCCCTAGCTCAGCCTTTTTTTTTGTGAGTAGTCAGTGGGAGAGAAGAAGTTGAATGGGTCTTATACAGTAGAATGTTTTTTGTTTTGTTTTTCAGGAAGTGTATACAATATGTGTCACTAAAAATTACTAAACAATTCTGGAAACTATGGTACACCCAACAAGAGTTTTGTAGAAAAATATATCATAGAGTAAATCTAAAATTATAACCTTGACTGAATTTAAGAAAAGAAACTGGCTTAATATAATGTAAAAATAAAGTAAACATTAAATTTGATTAAAATTAAAAGTACACAAGTGCATTATACTTATGGACAATACTATTCTTTAAATGGTGAGAGCTCTTAATAAATGATCCAAAGGAAGATCTGAAATCAACCTGAATAATAGAGTAAAATGACTAAATATAAATTACAATAATGTCATCTTTCCAATAGTGCATGCATTACTCAGCTGGTCATCCTAAAAGTAAAATGGAGGATATATATATATATATTCTCGATGTATCACATTTGTTAATAATTAAGATCACCTCCAAAATCTACATAGTGTGTTCAACTCTGCATGCATACATACATCTTTCCCATCACAAAACACATGTGACACCAAAGGGGAATGATCCATGAGAATATGTAACTATAGCAACAGCAATTGAGTCATAGCTAACTCTCATTATTATATACATGCAATAAAACACACGTGAGTGAACAGAATATACTTGTTGGTCAGTCTTGTAGTATAGAGCTATTGTTGGGACATGCACTGGAGCTGAAACTTCCTTACAATTGTGAAGTAGTCAAAAATGTTAATGGCCTGACATTGAAACTAACTGCACTGGATGGTGTAGGTGCCATAGGCACCATTGAATTGGCCAGAACAAATATATTTGTGTCTTTCTGAAGTTTAGAGAGATTTCAGTTGAAAATGCTCTGGAAAGGTCTGTTTAAGCCTAGAGAAGGTGTGGACATGGAAGGCGTGGACAGATCTAATAGTGACATCTTATTATTATGTAACCTTCAATGAGACAAGTTACATATTCCTGTTATCAACAAGCTACATATTCCTATCATCAGCTCCCTTTCTTTGCTGATTAATTCTTGATGGTCAGAGTCAGTAACTGTACTGACTGGGTTGTCTGCAAGCTTGGTATCATCAGTGTTTCTGAGAGGGCCTCTATTATGCTGACTATGGGTGGTTCCAAAGTTGGCAAACTTAGGACTGGAGGAATATCAGGAGTTGAGCCATCTGTGAAGACTTGGGAGCTATCATTTGATGGTGTTCATGTGAATTTGAATTCCTGATGAGTCAATGAACAACTGGTCTTCATACATTATTTCTGCCCTCTATGTCCCTACTGAAGATCATGTCAGTTTCAGGAGTTTTGGGGGCTTCTT